GCCCTTGCCTATAATTTAAAATTTAAAAGGAGTTTAAACTTCTAGTTTTTGCCCTCCTGAGGTTAAGAAACTGGCTAAAATAAACGGTCGTATGCAAAGACGAATGATTTTAATATTACTTTAGTTATCTTAGACTTGAACCAAATATAACTAAAGTATTATCTGCTGATAATGTATCTGCTATATTTTATTATCAGAAAAATGCATTATAAACATACATTTCCAATTTAGCTGATAATGTTTTATGCGCTCCCTGCAGGTGTGTGCAGTGTGGATAAGCAGAACAAGGCGGGCTACACGGCCATCATGCTGCTGCCCTCTCCACTGTGAAGGAGGAGGCCGACATGGCTGTGGTCAAGAGGCTCTTCAGTAAAGGCAAACGTCAACGCCAAGGCCAGCCAGGCAAGTCATCAGCACACTGTTTACTGATGTCATGTTCCCACTGTCATTTTACTGCACTCATTACTTATCTGCATGTCCTGAATTAAAAAGGTATCACCTGAAAAGTGTGAACAACCACGTGTTGGAAAATGAGAAACAAAGACTTACTGTTTCTGTCTGTAGTCAGCTCCAACACCCTGAAGCATTTAATCACCTAAAAGAGTCAAGCCTGGCTCAGCTGGCTGGTTAAATTAATTTCATCTGATTTAAACTGTAAATGTAAAAGCATTTACTTTGAACCAGAACACAGGATAGATTCCACATATTACAGCCAAATACATAAAAAAAAGGTGTAAGGGAGGTGAATGATCCACTAATATGATCTGTTACTAGCATTGCATTGGATAAGTGAGTTTTTACAGCATTCCTTCCTGCTGGTTTATAATGTGACATTCAAACGCAAAACGTTTGAACTAACGCACACAGAACGTCAAAGTAGTTCAACATGACTTAATCATTTTAGAGCTAACACCTTCTGGTCAGTTAGTCGATATGCCCTTCGGCAACAGAACTCTCTTTAGTAGGACAACCCCTGGTGAAGAGGGGGGGAGTGTTACCTTGGTTGGTATTGGCTAATGGTTAACAACCCAAAAAAATCGTTATGACATCATAACGTGGCCAAAATCGGATCAAATATTTTTCCTGAAACTTTCAGAATCTCTTTACACAGAGGGGACACATGTTTATGTATAAAATACATGAAAAAGTGGATTTTGCACAAAGGGTGACATATAAAGCCTGACAGTGCATCACTATTTGGTAGTGTGACTGTGAACAAATCAAAATGGTCAAATGTAATATTTTAATATCTTTAGTTTAATACATGGCATTATTTTGTTTAAAATATTACTGCAGGCAAACACCATGGCAACAGCTTTGAGGCCTGATTTACTTTCTGAAATCATATGAGAATGGACTTGTCGGCTTTAAGTCTGTTGATATGATTGGTTTAAAATAATTGAATATGCCACAAATAGCTTTTCATATGTATCTGTATAATTCATTTAGGCTACCAGCCACAGTACACTGAGTTTACTGTGGCTGGTTTATCTTCCCCTGTCATCCGATGGATTTGTTGACAGCCCTACTAGTTTTCACTTCAACACCTTGCTAGTTAGAGTGAAGGTAGGCAGTGTTCTGGGGATTTAAGCGTTTATTCTCTGTTAAGAGCATTTCCTGTTGTAATGAAGCACGACATTCAGAGCCAGTTGAGTAATATGTTTTAAATCAGATTGGGTTAAAGAAATGTGTTGGGTAACGTGACACATTCGTGACTTTTTAAGTGGTTTTATCTCTTTGCCTGATCTAATCAGGTTGTGTAGAGTATGTGTTGGAACACAGCGCCTGACAGGCTTTCACACTGCCAAGTCATAGGACTCTGAATTTATAGCATCACTGACTATAAACTCAATTACTGAAGCTTGTTATTGTTGCCGTGGGGAACAAAACACGAGGCACACAATACATTTTAGAATCAGGGATTGAACTCATATTTTCTGCTGTGTTTCAGAATGAGCTTTTAGACTGAGGTGTTTATGTGATGAATGACCTATGCAAAAATGCAAAAGTCCCTTGATTGACCCTTTGAACAAGTGACTTGAGAAGCTGTGCAAATGAAGACTGGCAAAAGTGTTTATAATCCTTTACCTTTGCAGGCGGGCCAGACAGCGTTGATGCTAGCTGTTAGCCACGGCCGTCAGGAGATGGTGCGGGCGCTGCTGGAGTGCGGCGCTGACGTCAACGTGCAGGACGACGAGGGATCCACAGCCCTGATGTGTGCTAGTGAACATGGCCGGGCTGAGATAGTCAAACTGCTCCTGGAGCAACCTGGTTGCGACATATCCATTGTTGACAATGTAAGGCTTTTACAGTTAGCTGATGCGCAGATTGAGGGGATGTCTTCAGTAACTTGAGCCGAGCCTACAGATGAGGCCAGCTGTTGGACTGTCTGACTGCTGAAAACATCTGAATACTTGCTTGTCTGGATTTAGCTTAATCTGTGCTGAGGAAATGGCTTCTCATGGGAAATTGGTCTCTCCAGCTTCCTCTCCTTGCCACCTCTTTTTTGGTTCTCTCTTTCAAGATTTCCTTTGTTGGAGCTAAAGAGCCACGATCAGATTAGTTTTCTTCTGCCTTTTACTGAAATCAGTGCTGTTTACAGGAAAACCCAATCCCTGGGCTACTCACAAGCCCCTCAGGGGATGAATTAAAAAGCCACAACTCCTCTGTTAACAACCGCAGACTTGCAGATTTCTGCCCTGCAGGCTCTTGCACGAGTCCTCTGCATACTTCACCACATGATCCATTCACAAGTCGGCAGCTGTTCGTTTCCTCAAACCAAAACAATGAAAAAATTGCATTAATGTAAGATATCAACTTTTTTGTCCCGAACTGACATACATGATGTACCAAAGTTATTTTATTAATTGTATCACATAGTTGTAGATTTGCTCGTGTACATTATCTTTTTTCTCAAATTCGGCCTAAAACAAAAACTTCGCATTCGCTGCTTGGGACATTTCTTCGCTTTGTGTTTTAAATTGATTTCACAGAGGATTGCTCTGCATGCTTGAGGAGAGGCCAGTCAGACAGATATTTGAGAATTCACATCTGTGCAATGAATGAGTTGGTCCTTCAGTGCAGGAGCTCCTGGATTGTGTTTCAGTGCAGCACAGCTGGAATGACAGGACTGGGGGGGGTGTAAAATATTTCGAAAATCCCCCACTTTTGCTGTCCTCTAAAAACCCAGAACAGCATGGCAAAACCATCACTGTAAACACAGTAGAGTTATATGTACAATTATGCAGGGCCATTGCTTAACCTTATTAAGCTTTACGTTTGAAAGTCAAGGTGGAAGCGTCCACCTATTTGGTTTAATTATACTGTCTAATTAGGTCTAAGTAACAACATAAAGTGTGTGTGTGTATTGTCAGGACAGCTTGTTAGCTAAACAATGGTAGGCGAGTTTACACCATGATAAATAGTTAATGCGGTGAATGCAAATTAGAGAACAAAAAGAGTCTCCAATGTCTTTAAAATCACTCGTTGCAAAGCGTTACGGTTTCCTGGTAAGTAGTTAGATAAAGTTTACTGGTCAATGTCAAAGTGAAAAGCCCTCTGTTTTCTTAAGGGTCAATAAACTCCTACTTGATCTGTTTCTCCTTTCTTCTATCTGTAGGATGGCAGCAATGCTCTTTCCATCGCACTGGAGGCGTCTCACAATGACACAGCTGTGCTACTCTACGCCCATATGAACTATGCCAAGACCCAGCCTGCTGTGGTGAGTCCCACTCCACCCCCTCCTCTTCCTCTGTGGAGATGGGTTAGTCTCACTTGTATAAATGACATGTGAATGAACAAAACAACTGAAATAACAGGTTAAAATATGGTAAATACACCTTTTAGTTTTCATGCAAACTTGTCTGGTTTTGTTTAAACAACATGGAAAGAAAGAATACACATTTCGAGTGAAGAGTTAATGTTTTAGAAGTGATTCATTGTTGGTTTTATGAGCTAAAAGGTTTGAAAGCCATCCACTTTAAATCTGCTGGGAAATGGCATGTACGCAAGAAGGCTGACGTCTGTGCAGGACACACTACAGCATATCTGGGTTGTATCTGTGGGTTGGATCAGTTCCTCAGCAGCTCTCAGCTTTAGTTTGGGTGTGGGCAGCACTATCTGAAGGGGCACTGCTGCCCCCTATAGGTTTTGTCAAGCTCCCGTCAAGTTTGTTTTATTAATATTTTAATAACAGTGCTGCAACATATTATTATTTTTATTTTGGAATAAAAAACTGTTGATAATTTTCTCGATTAAACTAGGAAATTAGTTGTTTGTTGTGAGACATTTTCCAATCAGTTTCCCAAAGCCCATTTGACCTCCTCAAATTTCTTGTTTTGTCCAAACAACAAAATATGAGGTGTACTGTTATAGAAGAGTCAGAAAATACCCACATTAAAGAAGCTCTAATCAGATGATTTAGATTGTTTTTCCCTAAAAAATGAATCAAACCAAGTTATCGATTTTCTAAAAAGTTAAGTACATTGATAAAACAATTGCCAACTGACATCCAAAATGTAATCCTTTGCAGGGTATTGAAATATTGTTCGTGTTTAATGTCTTCCAGGGGAGTCCAAAGACGCAGCCGAGAAGCCCCACCAGCCCCCACAAGTCCTGGCCTTCAGACTGAAAGGATCATGTAGACCAACACATTAACTGGATCTGAGCTGTGAAACGCTCCACTGGAATTTTCTTAAATATGTATTTATATATTGCCATATGTCCTGCATTTATAAGTATTGTTAATATGAAAATATTATTTTTTCATAAATGTTGTGAATGGTTATATAATATATGTGACTAATATGAGCTCCTTGCATGTCTGAATGAGGTCTCCAGCACTTGTTTTATTTTAAATCTGTGACGAGATGAGACCTTTACATTTATTATTTGCACTCCCTATAATATGTTTTACTGTTAAGGGCAATACACACCAGTGGGATATTATACATATCAAAAAACCTGCACCAATACGTTTCAATGTAAGCTTACAGCCCAATATGGGCCAGGCGTTACTGTCGGTGCAGAAAAGTGATCATCTCTTGGATCCCTGGTTTGGCACGTCCCAACTCTTCTACTCTTTCTTTTTTTCTGTGCAGCCTTGGTTAACGTATCTGTGAACCTCTTCACCTTCATCTTTGTCTGCACTAACTGTTCGTGCAATGTAAGTTTATATAAATAAATATATATATTCATTTCTGAAATAAACATATTTACATAAAAGTTGATGGAAATCGGTTGTTTTTGCAAGCATTACATTTTTTGGGATGATACACTTTTTTTTTACTAACGGTATGCATCTAGAAGTGTTCTGAAATCATGTTCATGAAGCATTATGAATCCAAACTGACAATAATGTTGATTGTAATATTATTTTCCTACCAGAGGTGAACAGGGAAGAATGAATCCTGAAGTCTGCTACTGGAAACAGACAATTATAAAAGTCATTTCAAAATCTTTATAGGCAAAATAGTTTTTATGTTTCTGAAATTGATTTGTGGGAGGTACATGGATAATTTTAATTAGGTTAAATAGAAATTCAATTGTGTGGAATATTCTGTTAAAATGAAAAGTCCTGCATTCAAAGTCTTTAATGTACAGTAAACGTATGTTACCATTAGCATCAACATATAGGCAAGGCAAGTTTATTTATACAGCACCTTTCAGCACACGGCAACCCAAAGTGCTTTACAAAATAAAATAAAAGACATTGAAGAATAAATACAGTGGAAGCACATTATAAAAAGCAAAGATAATAGAATAAACACAACGGGTATAAAATACATGGATAAAAGCCAAACTGCAGTTTGAATTTGAACAACTCATCCAAATGCAGCGTCACTTAAAGTAGCAATAGTAAAAGAGTTCAGTTTGACTTTATTTTATTTAATATGCATGTAATTTACGAGATAACTTGATGCATGATTTTAAACATACAAATAAAGGGATGTACAGTTCTGGAAACAATTAAGAGACCATTGCAGCATTATCAGTTTCTCTGGGTAGGTATGTGCATGGGCGTAATTTCCACTGGGGATAGGGGGGACATGTCCCCCCCACTTTTCAAAATCCCGTTTGTGTCCCCCCCACTTTTCAAATGTTTTTATTTATTTATTTTTACGCAAGTGGCCATCGTCACGGAGGAGCGTCTGTGTGTGTGTGTGTGTGGCAGGAGCGCATTTTGTGTGAGACAGAGAGAGAGACAGAGAGAGTTACGGGGGTTGCTGTTAGCATCTGGTGCTAGCTCGGAGCTAACGGAGATTAGAAGCTGTTTCAACAATAAGGAGAGGGAGAGTCCTCTCCTGTCGGACTGAGATAACGTCAGCTCAGGGAGGTAAAGGACTCGCTGAGTGATTATATTAAAGTAAACTTTAGTCTAAGTTATCTCAGTGGGTCTCAAACGGTTTGGTCTAAACAAATATTTCCATCTATTTAATATAGTTGTTCAAAATAAGTTAAAATTAAAAACACAGTTTGAAAGGGGAGTGATTAGTAAAATATGCATAAATAAAGAAAGAATGCAGACTAGGTAAGATAAAGATAGGAGAGAGGAGTATATCAATGATGTGTTATTGGTTGTGAGCATATTCTAATGGTTTTTGGAGTATTGAAATATATACAGTTCTGTTTCGTATGAGTGTTGAGAGCTGTATCCATAAATCTCTTAATTTGTGCACCAGATTGATGCCTTTAACTTAAATTTAAAGAAACAAATCTTATCCGGACCCCCCTATAGGATGTGAGGTCATCACAAATAAAACAGGTTCATGGATAGATACATTTACTCATTATATATACACTACACATTTTTCTTGGATTAGTTAACATAGTCCCTAATATATATTTGTAGAAAGGCAGGAAATGGAATTAAATCGAGAACAATGTTTCATTGCGGAGGACCCCCTGTTTTGTGTCCCCCCCACTTCTCAAACCAAAGTTACACCCTTGGGTATGTGTGTAAAAACATTTGTATTCTATAAACATGTAGAGATTGAGATTTAAAGGTCCCCTATTATACTGTTTTTCATTCATATATAATTGGTCTCAGATATATACAAAACATGTCTCTGAAGTGTTTGGCTCGAAATACCAAACAGATCATGCATTGTAGCATCCCATAATCCCCTCTGTTTCAGCCCTGTTTCAAAAATGCTGATTCTGTGTCTGTTACTTTAGATGAAAATAAAATGCCACTCCTCACGCCCCTCTGAGAGATATTTGGTTAAAAAGAACACAATGGTGCTCTAGGGTGATAAGCAGTGACGTGCGGTGAGGTTCATGGCTGGTGAGGCACTGACTCTTTCAGAGTCAGATTTACAAATATTATATTCTGACCTTAATCGAAATATTCTGTTATTTTCAAAAGCTTTTTTGGTCTGATGTTTCGATTCATTTTAAACAGACCGTTCAACAAAAGGATACCCACAATCTAAATATTGGATTGTTCTTTCTTAGTAAGAACCAATTTTCATTACCAATGTGGTCTTACCTTGACTTGAAGATGAAGTCCATGCTATCCTTCTGGACAACAATCTCTATTACTTTTTTGTAAAAGTCCTCCTTATCTTCCTCTAGTTTCAAAAGTCTAGTTTGTTTGTTCGCGTATATACCGTCTCTGCGTAGAATAACAGTAGCAACAAGGACCTGTGGGCTCACGTGCGCCCCCTTCAGTGCGGCAGAGGTTATGGCTGCCTCCCCTGGTGCTTTTTTCATTGCCGATGTACGGCGAGCCTAAATATCATATACGTGAAATAAGTTATTTAGAGACTATGGATGGCGAGGATAAATGTAATAAAGGGATCTACAAACATTACATTGGTGACCTACAGTGAGATGGTAACAGGCATGCGCTTAGGGCCCGCTTTCCAGCCAGTTTCTGTGAGGTGACGCATTTTGAGGTGAGGCAGAGCTCATCTGTGCCTCACCTCACCCCACAGTAACTGGCTTGAGCGCGCTCACAAAATAAGTGCCCGCGCTAAATTAGTGCCCGCGCTCCAGCAAGTTACTGTGGGCTTACGTGAGGCAGAGCTCGTCCCTGCCTCACTCCTCATCGCTCCCATGTAGTTGTAGCGGAGCTCTGCAAATTTGTTGATTTTGACTATAAAAAGCGATTGGAATCATACATAAATCACACTTACAACACAGATCAGTGGAGACATTTTATTATTATTACTATTTAGTTTTTCTTTAGTTGTTTTTCCGTTACATTGTAGTATGGCCAGTCTATGAGTATGACAGGTGAGGCTCTGCCTCCCCTGCCTACCCTGACTGCACGTCGCTGGTGATAAGATGTGGGGGGTTACCTTGGTTGGTTATTGGCTAATGGTTACACAAGCCAAAAGATCGTTATGACATCATAAAGTGGCCAAAATCTGATCAGCTCATTTTCAGACAGGTTTTTATATAAATGGACCAGGACAAACATGTATAAAATACATGAAAAAGTGGATTTTGCATAATAGGTGACCTTTGAGAAAAATGTGGAGTGGTCTCTTACACAACACATTAAATCATTAGCAAAGACAGGTATTCAAAATCAACATGACTTAATATATACATTTAATCAATATAATTAAAGTATTATACAGTTACAAGCTTCACATGAATAGATATAATGTGTGTATGTTGATATTTTATTTCTGTTTGGGTTCATTTTCAACCTTTAAAGGTAAAGTCCTGAAAGAATGAAACTTTGGTGACAAAGTTGAATTATGCGTACTTGGTCTTATATCAGCCCCCATGAGGACATCTGGTGACAGTCACAATCATTAACCGGAAAGTGAGGTTTAATCCATCTTTTGGTTATGGTGAATTTATCAAGGGAGATATAATCCTGGTTTATGATTCTGTGATATTTTGCTGATAGAAACAAAATGCATTTAAATGAACAAAATAGGGCAGACTATGTTTTCAAATCTCAATGCATTAAACATTTACTGATGCATTATTAGTCACGGCAGCATTTTGACTGTTAGCAAAATCACAAGATATAGCCAGTTAGTCTTTTATGAAAAGTAAGGATTTTTACTTCAAGAGGACTGGTTTATAGTAGAGACAATGATATTATACAAACACATTTTGAATCATATTCTTATATAAAACAACATAAACTACCATAAAGATTTCATGTATATCGCTTCACACAACCTGGTTATGGTTATCGTAGGATCCTGGTCACACTAATATTGACTGTCATATTGTCAACACTTCCAAGTAAAATATCAGACCTAGTGACACTATGTAGAGAAAACCCATGATACAGTTCTAGGAATAAAAAAAAGGAATGTGCATTTAAATCTGGGGAAAATAATAGAAAACTAACTCTTATTCAACCTTAACACCAACCGCTACAACAAAGAGCTTTTTGAGTTGGATATAAAGATGCTTCATCATGTGGACCAAAGTTCTTAGTATTGATGTTGACTGATTAACAGACCTTTTAATACATTATTCCTCTTGTTTCCAGTGTAAACAGCTGACTGAAACATACATTAAATGGACAGCTATATAAGTGTTGGAATATCATTAAATAGTCAGTGCGAATTTAAACTGCATTTGTTTGCACTGAGCAACACCTTCCATCTTCTATAAATGTTAACAAAGCTCTGGGCTATTGGAGTCAGGAAGTGCAGAACAACTATTGGTAAAAGTGGTAAAAGTAGGGATGCAGTGATCTGACTTTTAAAGTACAGGAACTAAAAGTTGTAAGCCTCAGTTTGTGGAAGAGACTGATCCTTTTTTTAAGGCAACATAAGGCTCAACCTAAACATTGCTTTCATAACTTTGCAAAACCAAATTAAAACATAGATAAAAATGTTCTAAATTGTTATTTATAAGATAATTGTATCGATACATGATTGATCCATTATCATCCAAAACCTGATTCAGCTTTCTAGAATTGATGCATCCACAACTGAGTACAAGAGCAAAACTGGAGGATGCTTTCGCTTTTCTTTTTTTCTTTTACTGCTCAATGCACTCTTCATGCGTGCTGTTCATAATACTGTTCATTTCTAACGAGACAACTGCACATTCTTGAGCTCTTACACGATAAACATTATGCTCAAACGTATCCTCAGCCACTTTTAATTTGTTTGTGTATGAATAGAGAAGGGTAAACCTATTTTCTTTTTTTCACAGATATCATGAATGACGCAATCTTCGATGAAAACCACGATGAGATGGTGAAGGACATCGAGCTGTTTTCTCTCTGTGAACATCACCTGGTGCCCTTCTTTGGCAAAGTAATCTATAGACAACGTTATTTAAAGTTCTTGAAATTTAACTTTACTTTCAAATATTCTAAGATACTATAGCTTTTTGGATTTGATCTGAAAAATTACTGCATTTTGAACTATTTGTTTCTATTATTCAGGCTCACATAGCATACCTCCCAAACAAGAAGGTAGTTGGACTCAGCAAGCTTGCTAGGTAATACACATTTAAAAAAACACTCACACACCAAAGCACACTCACTTATGATCTTTTTTTTATTTCGATTTTTGTATCATTTCAGAATTGTTGAGATCTTCAGCAGGAGACTTCAAGGTATTCAACTATAATCTTATTTTGTGTTATTTTTTGTCTTTTTCCTTACACAACATATAATACTTTCATTTTCTCCACAGTTCAGGAGCGTCTTACCAAACAGATTGCTTCAGCCATCTCTGAGGCGCTGGAGCCGGCTGGAGTAGCAGTGGTGAGTATTTAACTTTTGTTTCATCCCTATAATTAAATTATTTGTTTAACGATTTTGCTAAAGCTCTTTTTATATCATGGCTACTTTGATAGTGCTACATCAAACATGCTGTTTGCACCCGAGTTATTTGCACCAATAATGTATCACACAAGCTCATAAGGCATATTATCATGGATCTGTTTTACACCAATTTAAATCTCCTTCTTTTTGCATTTCAGCCACATGTGCATGGTGATGAGAGGAGTGCAGAAGATAAACGCCAGCACTGTTACAAGTGTAATGCTGGGAACATTTCAGGATAATCCCACCACCAGGAAGGAGTTCCTTTCGCTTATAAAGAAGTGAAAAGTCTTTACCTCAACAGAGGGAATTGCGCGGTGTTTAAACCACTTACATGTTTTTTTTGTGTATTTATTGACTGACATTTATTAATTTTCTGAACTGCTGAGGTTATTGGTGTTCTTACTTGAGCTGATATATTTGTTTACTGTAGCTGTGTAAGAGATTTAAATTACTGAAATGTTCTATTTATTAAATATAATGGCTAATAAGAAGCTCCATTGTATAACAACATATATGTTGAAAATAAAGATGAAAGTGATTCCTAATTTCCTGCATGTCTATTTTAAGTATGAGCAGCGATACAAAGGGAATACATTTGCCAAAATACATATCCATAAGAAAAAAAAGGACCTTTAAAAATAGAAATAACATTTATTTGTATAAGGATCAACTGAAGCAGGTTGTTAATTATGATAAAGATTTGTGTTTGATGCCTCAGCTTTTAACGCTGCTGCCCTTTAATGATATGTGTTCATTGCTGCATTTCTTACTGCAAACAAAATGGAAGTTTGTCTCTTTCCGACTTTAGTAAAGGACAGTGATAAGGCCTTATCTTCCCAACACAGAGGACATAGCACAGTAATAAGCCAGTATATAGTTTTTAACAAATATCACGTGTGCATGCAAACATATATTGTTTTTCATAGTTTGATTGTTTATCATATGTACAGTATTGTAAAAGTGTTGTCATTACAACCTAGGTGTCCCGAACTAAACTTAAGTACTTTTTATATTGGGTTATGTGGGAGGGTATTTCATGGTTATATTTCTATGGAGGTGCTCATCAGTATTGCATATTATGTGTTCTAGAGATTAAATGTAACACACAATTATTTTCTGGCTGCAATAGCAGTATGTACAGGTGCACAGCACGTTACAAACCTGTACGTAGCAACAAAGATTCAAGATTCAAAGGCTTAATTGTGCACAGTAGCTACAGTGTAGATATGGCAATGAAAAACTTAAGTCCTGAACTCCTCCAACAACGAAACATATAATATACACTATACAGACAAAAGTATTGGGCCACCTACACCTACAGGAGCTTCTATGAAATCCCATTCCAAATTCTTAGGCCTTAATATTAAGTTGGTCCCCACTTTTGCAGCTATAACAGCTTCCACTCTTCTGGGAAGGCTTTCTACAAGATGTTGGAGTGTGTCTGTGGGAATGTTTGCCCATTCATCCAGAAGAGCAATTGTGAGGTCAGACACTGATGTTGGACAAGAGGGCCTGGCTAGCCATCTCCGTTCTAGTTCATCCCAAAGGTGTTCGATGGGGTTGAGGTCAGGGCTCTGTGCGGGCCAGTCAAGTTCTTCCAAACAAAACTCATCCAACCATGCCTTTATGGACCTTGCTTTGTGCACTGGGGCACAGTCATGCTGGAACAGAAAAGGCCCTTCCCCAAACTGTTTCCACAAAGTTGGAAGCATAGAATTGTGCAAAATGACTTGGTAAGATGAAGCATTAAGAATCCCCCTCACTGGAACTAAGGGGCCTAGGCCAACCCCAGAAAAAATACCCATAGAATTATCCCTCCTCCACAAAACTTCACAGTTGGCACAATGCAGTCAAGCAGGTAACGTTCTCCCGGCATTCGCCAAACCCAGAGTCCAGTGGCGGCGTGCTTTACACCACTCCATCCGACGCTTGGCATTGTGCTTGGTGATGTTAGGCTTGCATGCAGCTGCTCTGCTCTTAAAACCCATGCCATGAAGCTCCCGGCGAACAGTTTTGGTTCTGATATTAATGCCAGAGCTGGTTTGGAACTCTGCAGTTATTGAGTCAGCAGAGCTGTGGCGACTTTTACGCACTATGTGCCTCAGCACTCGGCGACCCTGCTCTGTAACTTTACATGGTTTGCCACTTCGTGGCTGAGTTGCTATGGTTCATAAACGTTTCCTCTTTGCAATAATACCACTTACAGTTGATCGTGGAATATCTAGGAGAGAAGACATTTCACAAACTGACTTGTTGTAACGGTGGCATCCTATTACAGTACCACATTCAAATTCAGTGAGCTCTTTAGAATGACCCATTCTTTCACAAATGTTTGTTAAGGCAGACTGCATGGCTAGGTGCTTGATTTAAACACCTGTGGCAAAGGGACTGAATGAAACACCTGAATTCAATGATTAAGAAGAGTGTCCCAATAATTTAATAATAATATAGTGTATGTATACTAAATAATAATTACATAAACAATGCATTTAGCTGTTACCCCCTATTCTAAAACAGAAGCAGCTGGTTGTATAAAAAGTTAAATGAGGAACATGAAGACGAGACTGGCGGGGAGGGGGAGACAACCTGAGAAACTCAGACACCACTGAGGATCAAAGTTCATGCAGGAAGTGAGCGTGGGAGAGCCTGTGCCTTATATTTATACTACTGTATAAAAAATGGGTGCAATCAAATGATGTGCTGGTTCTACCAACTGAGAAAGTAGGTAGCACTGGATTAAAAAAAAATCAAAACAAGTAAACAATGATTTAGTACAAACCCAAAAATACAAGTATGACCATGAAAATTAGCATAGAGTTTCACCTTTAATACATTTGGTTTTGACCCTGTATGACGCACTGGGTTTATGTATACATGATGTGGGTAGATCCCAGCATTCTTCTGAAGCACAAGACAGTCCAGCAGGTGGGCCTTGTGTTGATTAAAACGCTCGGCTGTAACAGCGTGAACCCAGGACCCAAAGTTGGTAATTTTAGAGATTTATCAATAGGGAATTTTAAGGGCCCAAAGAATGTATTTGGCTGTTTAATGTTGTGATTTTGATTCAATAATGAATATATTAATCTTATAAAATCTCCTTATTCAAACAGACCACATGTATGCAATCATACAAGGAAAAACAGGAGAAAATAAACTAACTTTCTCACCATGATACTGTATAAGAGTGAAATCTGTTGCAGTATCTACCACAGGGGCGGTTGGTAAAACTTTGGTAGGTGTTTTTTTGTCTGTTGCTAGATTTTGTGTCCGTGATAATGTCAGAAGCATGCATGATTCAAAATGCACTTCTCTACTTTAGGCCTGGCATGATTTGGCATCACAAAACTCTACAGGTGTTGATATCAAAATGAAGTCTGGTTTGAGCAAGTTTGCCGGAAGTATTGCTACTGTGCTTTGAAAGTGATACACATGTCAAACACAGGAACAATGAATGAGTATGGCAGAGGATATCATAGAAAAACAGACACAATAGCGATAGCAAAAAGCACAGATGGAATATAATTAGAAGAATGAACATTATACAGGAAGCACAGTAACAAAGACTACAGTAAGGACAATTGAATATGTGGATCAAAATAAGAAAATGGATGGACTGCTAAGTATGATTTTGATTTAAAGTGTGTTTGTTTACATGGTTATCTGTGGTAAATGGTATAGATATCAATATTAAAAGGTGGAAAAAATATTATTTTTTATTTTCTCACTCGCACACATAATGTGCAGGTTTATGTGTTTTATCACGACACAGTTTATTAGATCTGAATGTGACCAAGCAGATATATTTACAATGTTTCGGATTAATTTTCAAATTCTTGGAAGCAAATGAAAAAAAAAGGAAAATACACAAAACCATATAAATCTGTAGAAAATGAGAATGCTCGATTGTTGATCCGTCTCGTCACAACACAAAAACAGGATCTACCAAAGAGTTGAAATAGTTTATGCGTGCAATGCTGTCATGTGGCAGTGGAAACGGTAAGTTATGTTAACAGGCATGATGCGTAAAAGCTTTTTTCCCATTTTCTTCTGTGCGTCACTGAGATTTTTGTCTCAGATTGTTTCACAGTAAATGTTTCATTGTGTTACACTTTTAAGATGATGTTTTATTCATTTAGTGGGACAAGGGATATCACAAGAACACATACTTTGGTACAAAGCTGATGCCTAAATTTAAAAAAATGGCGAACTCTCTATTCTACAGTAGAGAAGGTACTATTTATCAGGGATTAAGCCTAGCAGTGTCCCCTCATCTCTCTGATAAGGCTTCATAGGAAAATACAACAAATCCGTATAGAAGTTGGTCATAAAGAGAACTGGTAATGTAAGCTGACAACAGCCAGCGGGCATCACGTTCCCACTTGGCTTAATCACAGAGCTAGCAGATCATGTTTAAAAAGGCTGCATTGAGTAACATTATGATGCTTTAAAGCTCTATTCATTAAATAAAAAAAGTATTGGGTGAAGGTAAAGTGTAGCATTATCATGATGTGTTCAAATGAAATCTTGTAAACAGGTTTTATGCGAGAAACTAGAAAAATACAATTGTTTCGAAGGAGTTGTTTTAACATAAACAAATATATTTGAGAGCATATTATGACCTGTGATATTTGAGAGAACTGTAATTTCCATGGTATTGGTAGTAGCTACTGAATTTCTGGTATCGCCACATAAAGCCCGCCTTAACCTGCCATCAGGCCCTGGGGCTGATAGGTTTTGTAGGCCCCCTATTTAAACAACAAATCAAAGTCATTTATAGCCTCGGCAGGCTCTGTGATCACACTTCTACACTCTGCTCTACGCGCGCCTGGTCCTCTCCTCCAGATGAGTGACGTATCGGGCCTCCCTCATGTATTTGTCCGGTTGCCGTTGGCTCCCCTCCACGTAGCAAGTCCTCGTCGTCATCTCCATCTCCTCGAATAGATAATGTCCCTGCTGTATGTTTTTCCTCTCCACCAGACGGCCTACTCAGGGCCGCCTTAATGCACGGGCTGACCTGGGCTGAAGCCCAGGGGCCTACGGAGATCGGGGGCCTATCATGAGCCAATTATTTTGGATGTTTTAAACATTTTTTAAATAAACAAATTCTTGGCTTTCAGAATATGAAACTTTTATTTCCCAAATCACATGATAAATACATTTTTGAAGCTTGTAAAGGGAAGAAGACAGCTCTCCCTTGCCACTCTGCTGTTCTGCTTTTCCCCTCCCTCCGCTGACATTATGAATGTAAGGCGTATAGTAATCATAGATAACACGGCAGGGTC